CCTCTTCGGACATGCCACCACACCACCCTGCATGTATGAGGGCCCGGTGCGACGCTCCGGTGGCATTGCTACCCCAGTGCCCCCGTCCGGCCTAACCCTGTAGCGTTTGACCACGCGATCTAGCCCTTTGACTTTGTATGAACGGGCTTTGACCAGTGGACCTCCCCACCCGGTTGTGTTAGGTCAGCCCATAGGAACACTCTGGAGCAACATCCGGGCCAGACCCACAGCAAAATCCCCTCCGTGTAGACCCGACGCATCCGTTTCCCCCCTCCAGGTGCCGGCGGCGGCACCGTCCGTGAGGGGGGGCACACCCCGGAGCCCCAAGACGGGCGTCTACGCATGCATGAACACTTTCACATATGCATCGGGACCCGTGTGATGTTTCGGTGACATAGCTACACCCCGAATCCCCCCACCAACTAGAATTCCTTCCGTGTCGACCGTTTCCCCCCTCCGTGACACGGCGATAGCGACGTTCGTAACGGGGGGCAATCGATATACCATCGGGTATGTTTTTTAGATAAGGCATAATTATCTTATACAAAAACAAAAACTAAAATAAAGTAAAAATAACAAAATAGAGTAAAAATAAAAAAATTAATTAAAATAAACGTATGCCGACGGCAAGGCCGTCGGCATATCTATGGACACACGGAGGTTGTCCCACGGATCGATGACGTGGCGTGGCACACGGATCGCTAACGTGGCAGAGGGGCCTATGCCGACGGCTTTGCCGTAGGCATACCTCTGCCATAGATATGCCGACGGCCGCCGTTACCGCCCGTCGGCGTAGGATCAACGCCGTCAAATGGTCAGCGCTGACCGGGCAGGTGGGCCCTGGCTATGCCGACGGCCTGTCCTATGCCGACGGGCCCCGTAGGCGTACCTCGGGCGGTCCCGACGGCCTTGTCTATGCCGACGGCCCCATCGGCATAGATGAATGTATGCCGACGGCTTTTCTACGCCTACGGCCTTTCCTTGGCCGTCGGCATAGGTCCATAGATGCCGACGAGTGCCGTCGGCATAGATTTGGCCGTCGGCAACCCTAGTTTTTCTGGTAGTGAGATTGGTTGCATACCAATTTTCGTTTCCAATCACATAAAAGGTTGCCAAATGTTGGCAACTTTGATTTTACCAAATTTTGCTTGTCAAAGATTGATAGCAACCCAATCAGCCTCTAGTTAACGAACAGACCCTGTAATAGTCCGTTGGTTTAGAATTTTCACAATGGCATGGTGGAGGTTTAGTAAATCATTTGACACCAAGTACCATTGAAATTCATGTAAGATTTTATTTCTGAGCTCTAAAAATAAACACTACAATTTGTTTTTGCAATAGATGAACAATTTCTTATAACACCATGCTGAATATGTTTTTAGTTATTTATGAACAACTTTAATTAGTTAATTCTCCGTCGACTGAGCGCTAGTCGCTCCCATAATATGCATGACATGCTCTTAATTTTACGACACTTATATGTTGTCTTACTGTTATTTTAGATCCCTTTGGAAAGATGGAAAAGAATATCCAGGTCAATGACTCGTGGACTCCATCTTCTCACCGCCCGACCGGCCTGTGGCACGTGTCATGCCCCTTCTATGTTTTGACTTTTGAGAGTTTGCATCGGTTGGTCCTAGTGTTTTGAGCCTGCTCACCACATATGCCACATCACTATACTGCCAAAAACTTGTAGGTTGCTCACCACGTATGTGTCATGTGGAATCGGTTGGCCCTAGCTAGTGACGCATGTATGCATCATTTTGGTGATTATAGGGAGAGCAAGGATTAGAGGGAGTATGGACTTAAGTTTTCTAGCGTAGTAAGAATTGTTCATTTTGGAGTTCGGATGATACATGTGTAGTTTAACGTCACATGAATGGTAATCGCTCTATCATGTGACCAGTTGGTGACGAGTAACCAACAATATCAAATGACTTCAAAGAACTGATAGAGCGGTTACCCTGTGACGTCAAACTACACCATGTGACACTTATCATTTGGATAGAACAATCGTTCTACTGTATTTTTTGGTCAAACTAAAAAATAAAGTTAAAATGGTACAAAAGCAAAAGAACAAAAAAAATCAACAAATGCATGCCAGCTCTAGGGATCATGAAGGAAAGCTAGTCTAACTTAGAGATGTATTATAGAAAAAGTCTAACTTAGAGATGGTGTTCGACCCAAACTTGAAGAGCTTCTAGAGAACAGGCCTTCCTGAAGTGGCAAAATGATTGACACGACCAGAACATTTACAAAATCCTTCACTAAATTGACATATACTTTTGATCGAGTCTAACATGAACTCATTACATTGACTTCTCATGTAGATCCGCTACTACTCTAGAACACAAGATTATCGTCAAAGGCCGGCAAAACCCTTGTCATGAGATTACGAAAAAAATCAAAGGAGGAGAAAGGCCGGCTCATGGTGCTACTATGTTCCTCCTTCTGTTCCTCTGGAGCTTTCTATTCCTCCGGAGCTGCCGCATCCTCCTTGTCTTCTGCACCGGCAGTGGGGCATGTGAACGGCTTCTCAAGCAGATTCATGAAGTGCGTGAAACCTTGCCCCTCATTTGCTTGGGTCTTCTTTCTGCACACGAAGCTCCCGTCAAGAGGGTGCAAGATCTCAAAGCTTTCTGGGCAAAATGTACACGAGGTCTTCAAGTGGCTGTGGCGCGGCTTCTTATCTGTCGATAGTAGAGAACAAACGGAAGAAAAACATCTGGTGAGAATCCGAAGAGATGATTGTTTTCTCATGGCGGTTAAGGTGGTGGTCGCTGCTTACCGACGATGGTGCATGTTTCGACGGCCGGCGCGTCGGAGCTGCGGTGGCTGTAGCGCAGCTCCGCGAAGAAGTGCTCGTCGGTGACGGTGTTGCTGACAGTGTTGCGCCTCCGTTTGCCGCTGACGATCTTCCTCCCGCGAGCCACGAAGCTGACGTGGACCCAGATGTGGCCTTCGAAGCCCACGTACGCGGCCATCAATGGCTTGATGGGGACGAACTCCGAGCCCGGGTTGGTGGCATTGTAGTGGCGGAGGGCGTGGTGGACGTGGCCGATGATGGAGGCGTCGCGCTCCCTGCAAATCGATCCAGACATCACCGTTAGCAAACAGCAATAGGTTGACGGACTCGAAGAGCTAAGCAAGGAGAGAGACGGCCGGATTGGAGTCGGATATCGGAGAACGTACTCTTCGGTGCGCTGACGGCAAGGCGTCGACGCCGGTGGCTTGCCGCAGCCGCACATGGAGCGTTCCTGGAGCGTCTGCTCCTCGCGGTGCAGGTCGTGCACGAAAGCCGGCGGCGGGCCGTCCAGCTTCCGCATCATCACCCGCGCCATCGACGACAGTGCGGATCCCATTGATGACGATGGAAAGATCGAGCGAGTGGGCATCCTCTTCTTTTCTTCCATCGAGCCTCTGGAGAGCTGGGAGCTTGCTAGTAGCCTAAGTCGTCGCAACTCTCGACGGATCTCCAAGAAGTCTCTCTGCTTCGATCGGTATGGTCTAGTGCACCGTGGGTACGTGCGTATATATATTAGGGATCAGACACAGGGAACATGTGCAACCCGACTCGGCCTGGATCACGGACCCGAGCAACCGAATCCTATGGCAAGTCGGACACCCGAACAAGCACACCCAACCAAATCCTATGGCAAGTCGGACACCCGAACAAGCACACCCGTCCCGTCAACCTTGGCGCTGGCGGTCGAGGAAGTCGTTGCGAGTGAGCGGCGGTGGTGGCTTGCCGGCCGGGTTTATTTATAGTAGAGGTCCGAGATGTTCGTGTGGCCTGATGCTTATTGGCTGGTCACGCCCATGCATGGAGCTAAATCGGCACAACTTCTCTAATACGCTCTTCAATCATTAGCCTTGGTCCTGAGAAGAGAGAAGATTGCATCTTTCCAGGCTCAAGGGCCTTCGTTGATCTGCAGCGCATCCATCAGCGGATCAATGGGGTCGTCGCGCCGGTCCTCCGCCGTCACCGCTGCCGCCCTTGTCCTTCTGCTGCTCCTTGTGTCCACCGGTAAGTAGCTAGGCAAGTCTAGCTTGATCCACGATTGTGATACAGCATATATAGGGGGCATGCTTCCACTGATGTCTTTTTTGGTTGAAAATCACTAACGTTTATTTGTGTGTTATTTGCACGCATGCAAAAATAACAAAACAACAGATGTCATTTATTTTCTTTCAAACTAAAAGCTACAAAAAGTTGTACTCAATTTATGATCTGTGATAATTGTTGGCCTTGCCTCGATGAGGGCTTCAAAACTAGAACCTATGTTTGGTATGTTAAAATGAAATTTCATTGGTTTGAAAAGTTAATGATACACATGATTGTAGGTGATATATTGTAGATCTTTCAATAAAAGAGCAAAACTCAACGAGGAGCAAAAGGAATTGGTGCATAAGAAATAGTCAAGAATCAATGCAAAAATTGAATCAAGTGAGAGTAGCGTGTTTGATTCATTAGATGGTTGGAAATTGAAAGAACAATGAGAAGTACTCCCTCCGTCCCAAAATAAGTGTCTCAACTTCGTAAAATTGAGACACTTATTTTGGGACGGAGGGAGTAAAAGACTGTAACAAGTGGCCAATCATAATTGTGCTAACAAACATGTTGTGTTTCGTATAAAGACTGGGTCCTTTTCGACGAAGGCATGGATAACACCTTTTCTTTATAATGTGGAAAGAAGCTAAGATTATATGCTGCATAACCATTGACTCACTTATACTTATGATTGTACTCCCGAACGGACATCCCGGTTATCCATTCGAATAATTAAGGCAAGATATAAGCTCAGTTTTAAGTTATTGTATCCTTTGTACTCCCTGATGTTATAACTCCTCAACTTCAGGAACGGTATTATGTTACCCCGGCCAACTCTCGTAGATTCATTATGACACAATGCTCTCCTTTAGGCCCATAGAAGGTGAGGTGCAATCAACATTTGCACATCGCCATTAGAGAATTACACCACCATATAATCAGGCATCAACCTTTATTGCAATTCATATGGGCCTTAAAATTGGTTTTTTCCCGTGTCCTGAGGAAGGTACTGAATTACTAACGGGTCACGGACATGTTTATTTTTAGGGGCATATTAATATGGATAATAATCCAAATGTATAATATTTCATCAATAAAACAAAAGCCTTCAACTAAAAGATATCAATTAACACCAGAAAATGATTACGAGGAACCGATCTACACCAATTGCATATGGATGATAGTGGAGATGGAGATGGGGATGTTGTTGTAGATACGGATGGTACAAATGATGATGATCCCCCATGTTTCCTTGGTATTGGTAACAACGATTGTTGTAGATACGGATGGTACAAATGATGATGATCCCCCATGTTTCCTTGGTATTGGTAACAACGATGGCGACGAATTTCCCTGTCGGAGGTGGCCTAATCAATAGAATCAGCCCTCGGGGGAGAAACTAGTGTTCCCTAGCAGCCGTCGCCGCCTCAAAAGACTACGCAAAAAATATCATGTCTCTTGAGTACAAAGGGGGTAATCCCAGTGTTTCCATGGTATTAGTGGTCGATGGTGACGAATTTCCCTGGCCTTAGGTGGAGTAATCAACATAATCAGACCTCCAGAAGAGAAACCAGGGTTCCCTAACGTCCACCGCCACCTCAAAAATTTATGTGAAAAAATGGCATGTCTCTTGAGTGCGAAGGCGGTACCCCTCAAAAGGAGAGACGAAGGGGGATCTAAGTGGGTCGTACAGCCATGTCACACATCCTCCTTCATGGGCCACATGAGCCCACCTCATGGGTCTCCTAGGCCTTCGTGTGCTGGGCCCACTTGGTTCTGCTCCTTTTCCTACATGTTGTTGAATTTTTTCTTTAGTCCTGGAAATGTCTTTTCATTTGTGTTCTTCTCCAATTTTCTTGTCTAGCAAGGCTTTCGGGCCCCTCCAATGCAATTTTGAAAATGCATGGAAAATAGAGATACAATAAAGTAACGGTGGTTGAATAGCCATGATAATGGAGAAAATTATCTTATAAAATTGTGATGCAAAACACATGTATCATTTACTACTGAATGATTTGTACAGTTGACCTGACATTATCACCATCAATATATTTGTCTTGTTTAAGAGATTAGCGGGTAAGTTTTGCCCCTACATGTGTCACCATGTACCTTTCAACACTTACACGTGTAAGCGCTAAGTTATGGAGATGTGCTACAATGATGACACTACTAGCTAGGTAGTGGCACTTAATTTAGATAAAGAGTTTACCACCAACATGCTACTGTCTTTGCCATAAAATTTACCAGGTGGTGTAGTTATAATGATGCTTAGTGTTTGTTATGTCATATTGGTGTGGTGATGTACTTCTAGTCCATGGTGATAAAGTTACCACAATGCATGGTGATAATGTACTTCCTGTGGTAGGTGATAACTTGTTACGCATAAAAATCGTCTGCATGGTATATTGTTTAGAACATATTTAATAATATAATAGACATTCTATTATTATGTTGTTCATGTATTGCATATTGTTTGGTCAAATTTATTAGGTGATATAGTTATGTTGATGGTTAGTATTAGATACCACTATAACAATAATGTATGAGACTGTGTGGAACACCATGAGGGCGACATAATTACCACATTGTCTAGTAAAACTTGTCACCATGGTAGTAAAAGGGTGCATGATAACTTGTTACAAAATTGATACGTAACTGATGTGTGATGCATGGTAACAAAAGGGTCAAAGATTTTTTTTTTGTGGAAACATATCCAAGTGCGGTCTACTTTCAAATCCATCATCGATATTAATCTACTTGTAGAAAAAATATTATGAATCTGGCATATGATTTCATCTGCATAACATTTTTATCGTTTAAAATTTATTGATATCACCAATTTTGTTTCTTCCATGTGTGGCCTTATCAAGTATACTTCTTTCTTTGTGCGCATTTAGCTATCTGATTCCCGCATACAACATTCTAAGATCATGCAAACCTGAAATTAATGCTTCATCCCAAGGACACACACAAATACACAATTTACGTATAATTATAAATAAATAGATAGATAGATAAACTATACTTGTTTAACAATTGTTGCACTTTTCTAGATAAACATGTCTAAAAAATAATTTGATGCATGATTGTATTGTAATTCTTCCTTGTAGAGGTGGTTATAGCCCAAGGATACAATAGAAAGGTGTGCTCAAAGCCGAGCAAGAGGTACAGGGGTCCATGCTTCATTAGCATTGATTGCAAACTTGAATGTGTCAAGGAAGGGCTCCCTCGAGGACATTGTAGTAGTTTCGCCGGTCAATGCCTATGCAGCCAAAATGGATGTTGAATAGAAATATACATTTTTAGTTTGAGAAAGACAATTTAATCAAGAAGAAATGATTATTCGATATGATGTATTGTATTTCTATTAAGAGTATATATATATATCTTCATTGCTCTTCAAATCAGCATATGAAGACCAGGTCATCGTAGTTTGTTGGTCCACCAATAAGATAGCTCATGGACAATGAATTCAGACCCAAATTTATGCATAAGTAGAGTAAGATGGTTGCGGTCCGTGTTCAAGTTGATATGGGTTGGTATGCCACAAAGTAAGTGCATATTGAATGTAACATATCAATGACTGTGATATGTGGGGATTATTGCATGGTTCATTTAGAAATTGCACGATGTTCATATATATTTTGTACTATGGGGTATCTTGAATAAAGATTTTATATAGGCCATGATGTCGAACTAATCACATACCTCATGAACGGTCTGAAACTGTGCATCATCAAGGGCAAAGCTAGATAAAAATAACTCAGGTGTACAATTTAGGAATCGACACAGCGTCATATAGTTTCAACCAAAAATATACTGGCAATAATGTGATTGATAAGTCTTGCAGTAAAGAATTCCAAACAAAACAAATGGCACGCCATATGCTAAGAAAGAAGGGATGATTAATCTTATCAAAATAAATACAAAAGACAACCGGTACTAGAAAATATATCATCCAACCTAGAATCCTTCGTAACCTATAAAATTGACATAGAGACATCGAATATCCCCTGAATGGCGTACCCTGCAACATACTGAGTAACTTGGGTTAATCACAAATGTTTCACCAGCGGGTCACGGCCCCGAAGATATAAAGATATTGCCAAAACAAGGTCTCGAGACATTAATCATAGTAAGCTAGTAAAATTGTTCATATTTGTCCATGGTTGCCAAGAGCCTACAAAATAACTATTAGACCACAGAATATATCAAAACTTTAAACAAAGCCCGAAAGCGCTTAACTCCAGCAGCGGCACCAGAAAAAGTTTGATGGCATGCAAGTGCATAGGGTTTACTTGTAGCCTTTTCGAAGTAAGAGTATTGATCTCACACGAAGCACAAGAATTGAACTTTGTCCCT